GCTGGGAGGCAGTTGAACAGTCTCGGGCCCCTGACACTTATTGTATGGTCTCTTAACGTGCTAGTGACACCCCTGCTTTTCATTGGGGGGATGGTGCATCGTCTGCCAAGTCTTTTGCTTTCGTAGTGAGTGATTTTCGTGTGCAAGTTCGGTACTAGTCCCTCTAGGATTTTCCAGGTGTATATAATCATGTATCTCTCCCTCCTGCGTTCCAGGAATACAGGTTTAGAAACCTCAAGCGCTCCCAGTAATTGAGGTGTTTTATCTCCGTTTATGCGCGCCGTGAAAGTTCTCTGTACAATTTTCTAGGTCGGCAATTTCACCTGCCTTGAAAGGTGCTGTTAGAGTGCAGCAATATTCCAGCCTAGATAGAACAAGTGACCTGAAGAGTGTCATCATGGGCTTGGCCTCCCTAGTTTTGAAGGTTCTCATTATCCATCCTGTCATTTTTCTAGCAGATGCGATTGATACAATGTTATGGTCCTTGAAGGTGAGATCCTCCGACATAATCACTCCCAGGTCTTTGACGTTGGTGTTTCGCTCTATTTTGTGGCCAGAATTTGTTTTGTACTCTGATGAAGATTTAATTTCCTCATGTTTACCATATCTGAGTAATTGAAATTTCTCATCGTTGAACTTCATATTGTTTTTCTGCAGCCCACTGAAAGATTTGGTTGATGTCCGCCTGGAGCCTTGCAGTGTCTGCAATGGAAGACACTGTCATGCAGATTCGGGTGTCATCTGCAAAGGAAGACACGGTGCTGTGGCTGACATCCTTGTCTATGTCGGATATGAGGATGAGGAACAAGATGGGAGCTAGTACTGTGCCTTGTGGAACAGAGCTTTTCACCGTAGCTGCCTCGGACTTTACTCTGTTGACGACTACTCTCTGTGTTCTGTTAGTGAGGAAATTATAGATCCATCGACCGACTTTTCCTGTTATTCCTTTAGCGCGCATTTTGTGCGCTATTACGCCATGGTCACACTTGTCGAAGGCTTTTGCAAAGTCTGTATATATTACATCTGCATTCTTTTTGTCTTCTAGTGCATTTAGGACCTTGTCGTAGTGATCCAGTAGTTGAGACAGACAGGAGCGACCTGTTCTAAACCCATGTTGCCCTGGGTTGTGTAACTGATGGGTTTCTAGATGGGTGGTGATCTTGCTTCTTAGGACCCTTTCAAAGATTTTTATGATATGGGATGTTAGTGCTATTGGTCTGTAGTTCTTTGCTGTTGCTTTACTGCCCCCTTTGTGGAGTGGGGCTATGTCTGTTGTTTTTTAGTAACTGAGGGACGACCCCCGTGTCCATGCCTCCCTCTCCATAGGATGGAAAAGGCTCGTGATAGGGGCTTCTTGCAGTTCTTGATGAACACAGTAGTTCCATGATCTGGCCCTGGGGCAGAGTGCATGGGCATGTCATTTATCGCCTGTTCGAAGTCATTTGGCGTCAGGATAACATCGGATAGGCTTGTGTTAATCAAATTTTGTGGCTCTCTCATAAAAAATTCATTTTGATCCTCGACTCTCAGTCTCTGGTTAGCGGCTTTGCTAAAAACTGAGTCATATTGGGACTTGAGTAGCTCACTCATTTCCTTGCTGTCATCTGTGTAGGACCCATCTTGTTTAAGTAGGGGCCCAATACTGGGCGTTGTTCTCGATTTTGATTTGGCATAGGAGAAGAAATACTTTGGGTTTCTTTCGATTTCATTTATAGCTTTTAGTTCTTCCCGCGATTCCTGACTCCTAAAGGATTCTTTTAGCTTAAGTTCGATGCTTGCTATTTCTCTGACCAGTGTCTCCCTGCGCATTTCAGATATATTGACCTCTTTTAGCCGCTCTGTTATTCTTTTCCGTCGCCTGTAAAGGGAGCGCCTGTCTCTTTCTATTTTACATCTACTCCTCCTTTTTCTTAGAGGAATAAGCCTTGTGCATACATCGAGTGCCACCGAGTTAATCTGTTCTAGGCATAAGTTTGGGTCTGTGTTGCTTAGTATATCTTCCCAGCTTATATCGGTTAGGACTTGGTTTACTTGGTCCCACTTTATGTTTTTGTTATTGAAGTTGAATTTGGTGAATGCTCCCTCGTGACTAGTCTCATTTTGTCGGTCTGGGGCTCCTCGCATACATGTCTGAACCTCAATTATGTTGTGATCTGAGTATATTGTTTTTGATATGGTGACATTTCTTATCAGATCATCATTGTTAGTGAATATGAGGTCTAGTGTATTCTCCAGTCTAGTAGGCTCTATTATTTGCTGGTTTAAATTGAATTTTGTGCAGAGATTTAAAAGCTCGTGTGAGTGTGAGTTTTCATCAGAGCTGCCTCCTGGTGTTATTTCTGCAACAATATTATTTGCTATATTCCTCCATTTTAGGTGCCTTAAGTTGAAATCCCCCAGGAGCAAGATGTTGGGTGCAGGAGCTGGAAGATTTTCCAGACAGTGGTCAATTTTTAACAGCTGTTCCTGGAATTGCTGGGATGTTGCATCCGGAGGCTTGTAGACTACCACAATGACTAGGTTTTGGTTCTCGACCTTTACTGCTAAAACTTCCACTACGTCATTTGAGGCATTAAGCAGTTCTGTGCAAACAAGTGTGCCGAGTCTTTTGCTTTCATAGGGAGTGATTTCCGAGTGCAAGTTTGGTACTAATCCCTCTAGGATTTTCCAAATGTATATAACATGTATCTCTCCCGCCTGCGTTCCAGGGAGTACAGGTTTAGGAACTTCAAGCGTTCCCAGTAACTGAGGCGTTTTATCGCAGTTATGTATACCGTGAAGGTTCTTTGTACATTTTCTAGGTCAGCAATTTCACCTGCTTAGAAAGGTGCTGTTAGTGTGCAGCAATATTCCAGCCTAGATAGAACAAACGACCTGAAGAGTGTCATCATGGGCTTGGCATCCCTAGTTTTGAAGGTTCTCATTATCCACCCTGTCATTTTTCTAGCAGATTCGATTGATATAATGTTGTGGTCTTTGAAGGTGAAATCCTCTGATATTATCACTCCCAGTCTTTGACATCAGTTTTTCGCTCTATTGTGTAGTTGGAATTTGTTTTATACTCCGATACGGTTTTAATTTCCTCACGTTTTCCACATCGGAGTAATTGAAATTTCTCATCATTGAACGTCATATTCTTTTCTGCGGCCCATTTAAAGATTTGGTTGATGTCCTCTTGGAGTCTTGCAGTGTCTTCAATGGATGACACTGTCATGCAAATTCGGGTGTTATCTGCAAAGGAAGACACGGTGCCGTGACTTACATCCCTGTCTATGTCAGATATGAGGATGAAGAACAGGATGGGAGCGAGTATTGTGTCTTGTGGAACAGAGCTTTTCACTGTAGCCGTCTCAGACTTTACTCTGTTTACTACAATAACAACTCTTTGTGTTCTGTTGATTAGGGAATTATAAATCCATCTACCAACTTTTCCTGTTATTCCTTTATCACGCATTTTGTGCCCTGTTTTACACCATGGTCACACTTGTCAAAGGCTTTTGCAAAGTTTATGTATACTACATCTGCGTTTTGTTGTCTTCTAGAACATCCAGGACCTTGTCATAGTGGTCCAGTAGTTGGGACACACTGAGTGACCTGCTCTAAACCCATGTTGCACTTGGTTATGTAACTGATGGGTATCTAGATGGTGGTGATCTTGCTTCTTAGAACCCTTTCAAAGATTTTTATGATATGGGATGTTAGCGCTATCGGTCTGTAGTTCTTTGCAGTCTTCAAGCTGGCACTGGACAAGCACCTAAAGTCAGTTCCTGATCAGCCGGGCTGTGGCTCGTACGTTGGTTTGCGTGCAGCCAGCAGCAACAGCCTGGTTGATCAGGCGCTGATCCACCAGGAGGCCTGGTCACAGACCGGGCCGCGGGGGCGTTGACCCCCGAAACTCTCTCCAGGTAAACTCCAGGTAATACCACGGGCGGGGATAGAACCCGCGATCCGAGTCTCAAAACTCCAGACCGTCGCGTGGTATGGTTTGTTTGCAATCGTGTCATTACGATTTCGTGAGTGTAGTTCTTTGCTATAGCTTTACTGTCCCCTTCGTGGTGTGGGGCTATGTCTTGTTTTTAGCAGCTGTGGGACGACCCCAGTGTCCATGCTCCCTCTCCAAAGGATGTTAAAAGCATGTGATAGGGACTTCTTGCAGTTTTTGATGAACACGGAGTTCCATGAGTCAGGGCCTGGGGCAGAGTGCATGGACATATCATTTATCGCTTTTTTAAAGTCATTTGGCGTCAGGATAATATCGGATAGGTTTGAGTCTACCAAATTCTGTCTCGCTCCTAAAAAAAATAATTTAGGTCTTGGACTCTCAGTCTGGTTAGTGGCTTGCTAAAAACTGAGTCATATTGGGACATGAGTAGCTCACTCATTATTTCCTCGATATCAGAGAGGACAAATTCAGTGTTTTCAGCTTATCTTCGTAGGAAATATTTCAGAGAAAACAATTTGTTTAACGAAATATGCAAAATGAAACTTACATAGCCCAATATTATTCTTTCTTTCTTTCAACACACATAATATAAGAAACATATTTTTAATAGTTTTACTTGCTCTGTGATTATGATTTATGTAATACTCAAGTAAATTGTCATAACAGTAACAATTTGATACTGGTTATTTACATTTAACAATAGATATGGAATGGAAAAAAAACTCCCAATATTATTATTATAATCAAAACTAAGCGCTAAACCCACATAGCCGCATAAAATTGCAACCCTTCTTTTGAGCACCGTGGCTTGGTCAGAGGAAGCACTCGAAAGTACGGCAGAACTGCTCTCTTGATTAGCAAGTTACAATTGTTATGAGTTAATTACAATATGCAAAGTTAGTGAATGTTTTTCCAAAAAATTATAACATGTTATTCTGAATTAAATATTTAGAGTTTTTTTTTTAATATTTGTGAACAAGTTGACTCGGGATATTTTTTTTTCGCATTAAAAAGCACACATGATGTGAGATCTAAGTAATGATGTGACTGAAGCAGTGACTATGGCAGGTCATGGCAGTTGGCGTCCTGTACAATGTGTACCTGTTGTGCTAATGACCTAGTTTACTGAAGCACCTTCAGCAGCAGAGGTCATGGCAAAGCGACCACTGACCTGGTCGGATTCAGGCATCTGAGTTTCAGTTGCATCTGTGTGTATAAACACCTGAGAGTTTGTTTTACATCTTATAATAGATACTGCTGCATCTTTGATGTTAGTGTCCATGTGGACAGCGTCCACATGACCTTGGTATTGTCTTCGTGAATATTTCAACATAAAGTGAAGGATGAGAGAGAAGGGAATTAAGCGTGTCAACCGGCCCAAGATCAACAGACTACCACTGTCAAGGGTAATGTCATAAGTTCTTCAAATATCCTACATTGGTAGAGTAAAGTCGGGTAGGAGAGTAAGATAAGTTGGGACGGGTGTCAGCTGGTTCTAAGTAAACATTAATACCACTGAAGAGTTATTCAGGGACGTAGTTATAAAAATTGTAGTGAAAGTAGACGACTGCTATTTGCCAGATATCAGTCATTAATTATAGTTTGAATTGTATAATATTAAGTTTATTGTACATCTGAGATATTATTTTGTGCAGATAAAAAAAAAATAACGCAGCCTAAAATAACCTACGTACCCGCTTCACACACGGAGGGCCCGGGTTCGATTCCCGGCGGGTGGAAACATTTCGACACGTTTCCTTACACCTGTTGTCCTGTTCACCTAGCAGCAAATAGGTACCTGGGTGTTAGTCGACTGGTGTGGGTCGCATCCTGGGGGACAAGATTGATAACCCCAATGGAAATAAGTTAGACAGTCCTCGATGACGCACTGACTTTCTTGGGTTATCCTGGGTGGCTAACCCTCCGGGGTTAAAAATCCGAACGAAATCTTATCTTTGTAACTTAACCATACTCGGAGATCGGTACTGGCGAGTCTTTGTTAACATTAGGTCAGGCACATGACACGACGTGCTGTGCAGCGCGTTAAGTTAGGTTATTATAACTTATTTTTTTATTTAGTTCAACAGTACAAAACTCATATAGTTTACATATAATAAAGCATTGTTAGACATAAAAGAAAGCTACTAGTATGCAGTGCATTTCTGGTTTAGGTTAAGTGGGTGTTGATGGGTTAAGTTATTTTTTTTTATAATTTGCCCACCAAAATAGTATCCAGTCTGTAGAACAAACGTAATTTGTACAAGTTGAACTATAATTAATGGCCGAAATTCGCCGAGTAATATTCATATACTACTTAGTGATGTAAATACATATATTATGTACTGTAAAATGTGAACTAATAGCTGAGTAGTAGCAGTCGAAAACCTTAGGTGATGGTACAAATGAGTGTGAGTGTGTGTGATGAGGGCAAGATAAGAGAGGGTGATGGTGTAAGTGTGTCAGCCAGGCTAGACAAACACTCAGTGTGTCAACACAGCCACCCACCCAACACTGTACTCTGACGCTCCTCTACACGGTATCTTCCTACCCTCGTTTATCCTCCTCCTTACTGCCCGTGAGTGTTTCTTGTGGCTTCTAGTATTCCTTGGGCAGCCTGAAATGTCTTGTACTTCATGTGTTTGTGAATTTCTTGTATAAAGCAAGGAGAGGGAGGGAGCACACGTGATTCCTGTGTGGAGGCAGCCTCACCTCATCTTATGTTTGCTCTATTTAAAAGTTATAGTCCTTACATTTAGGGCAGATGAAACTGTAATCTATAATAGTTACTTAAAACTGAGTTTTGAAACAGGATATTGTCTATAGTTAACAGTAAAGATATATTCATTCAGAGTATCTTATCAGTTCAATATTTTCCTAGTCGCAACAAAGTCTCCCTTGCAGTAATTTTAGGTTTTCATTAAGAATAAAATGGCACCTACTATAAAACGTCTAAGAAACTTAACATGATACTAAGTATATTTTACTTGTGGTACTGCTGTGAAAATGAAAAATTAATTCTTTATCAAAATCTCATATCTTTTCCACTCTATTCATGTTGCATCTATCTTTTCTTACTTTAACTAATTTTCACACAGTTAGAGTTACTTGGCTGTTTTAAATGTTAAGGTTATAATCATGATTCATTTCTACTGTATCTTAGAGCTAGTTTTTTAATAATAAGATAATACAAGGACCACAATGGAAATAAGTAATTTCATCTGACCTTTTTTTGGGTTATCCTGGTGGATAATTTACACATATGTTGCTATATATGATAATTGTAATCATCTAAATTTGTGTAACTACTTATGTGTACCTACACCTAAATAAACACTTAGACGATAAAGGTAGACACATGTACATTACTGCATGTAGACTGGTGGGTGGCCTGGTGGCTAAAGCTCCCGCTTCACACACGGTGGGCCCGGGTTCGATTCCTGGCGGGTGGAAACATTTCGACACGTTTCCTTACACCTGTTGTCCTGTTCACCTAGCAGCAAATAGGTACCTGGGTATTAGTCGACTGGTGTGGGTCGCATCCTGGGGGACAGGATTAAGGACCCCAATGGAAATAAGTTAGACAGTCCTCGATGACGCACTGACTTTCTTGGGTTATCCTGGGTGGCTAACCCTCCGGGGTTAAAAATCCAAACGAAATCTTATCTTATCTTATCTTACCTGAAGGATATTCCGAGGGTCAGTGCCTCTGCAGTCTGGTCCATGACCAGGCTTCATGGTGAATCAGGGTCTGATCAACCAGGCTGTTACTGCTGGTAACATGCAAACCACCATACAGGCCACAGCCTGGCTGGTCAGGTACAGTGGTACCTCGAGTTACGAACTTAATTCGTTCCAGAAGGCCGTTCAAACGAATTTGTTCCCATAAGGAATAATGTAAAGATTTAACGTAAATTAGATTAGTCCATTTCAGACCCCCAAAAATACACTTAAAAAGCACTTACAAAAATACACTTACATAATTATTCGAGTTAGGAGCTGTTCGAAACTTGGGTACCACTGTACTGCCTTTAGGTGCCTGCCCAGGGCCTTCTTAAAGACAGCCAGGTGTCTGTTGGTAATCCCCCTTATGTATGCTGGGAGGCAGTAGGACAGTCTTTGGCCTCCCTGATACTTACTGTGTTGTCTCTTAGTGTACTTATGGTACCCCTGTTTTTCATTGGGGAATGTTGCACCACCTGCCAAGTTAACAATGACTTATTTTCATGAGGGTCATTGATTCTTATCTTCTGTACATAACAGTTTTTCCTTTGAGACCTCGTGAATTATTACTGCAGTAACAAGACTTCATTGCCACTCTTGAGTATGTGTACATTGTATCCGTATACGTACATACATATAATAATAATGATAATAATTTTATTGTGATATGATACATAGTTTTACAAAAGAGGGGTGTTAATGTTGCAGTTTAAAAACTGTAGTGTAAAGCACCCTTCTGGCAAGACAGTGATGGAGTGAATGATGGTGAAAGTTTTTCTTTTTCGGGCCACCCTGCCTTGGTGGGAATCGGCCAGTGTGATGATAAAAAAAAAAAAATACATAGTTTTACAAAAGAATATTATAGTTGGGTGTACATGCCAAAAGCCCCTTTGTATGCAGAGCATTTCAGGCAAACTTAATATTAACTTTAGATTAGGAAGGCAATAACAGGTTATTATTTGGATGTTGATGAGTTACAGTGAGTACATTAATTACAGTTTTAAATTTAGCTTATAAAACTTACATAATTACAAATAGTGGTACATTTTGGGTTAATTTATACTATGGAAATATTTCAATGGAGCAGCTTGAAAACAATTTACAGTAACAGACAATAACAAATAATTATGTGGGCATTGATGTGTTACAGTGGGTACAGTAATTACAGTTTAAAATTAGCGTATAAAACTGACATTATTACAAATAATGGTACAAATGGAATTAATTTACAATATAGGTATATTGCAATGGGATAATTTAAAAAACACAGTTTACAATTTGATATTATTTCAGTTTAATATCATTTAGAGCAATTAAATGGAATTAATAATTATTACAATTTAACCCTTTGAGGGTCGACAGGCCCTCTCAGAAACTCGTTCTCAGGGTCGGCCAAATTTAAAAAAAAAAAAATTATTTTTTCTTATGAAAAAATAGTTTTTTTTTTCTAAACATTATAGGCTAAACAAAAAAATTTTATCATCAATACTTGCCGAGATATGGAGGCGTGAAGTTTGCCAAAATTGAACAACATCTGGTAACATCGCCGACTGCCGTCACCCGGTATTTTTCAATTTTTCTTTTTCTGAGTAACTTTTATGGCCTCTGAGACCAATATGATCAGTATTTTGTAAGTTATTTCTTTTTCACTACTACACAATAAGGGCATAAACACTGTTGTCATTATTTTGTTTATAGAAAATATTTACACAAACAAACGATATGAAATGTTGTTTATTACTATTTTTCTATATTTTATATACACATATACAGTCACAGGACATGTTTCTAGAAGTTCTGCAGCCTGTGGAAGTCTCTGAAACATGGTGTCATGCAAAGTGGTGTTTTACATTCCTCACACATAAAACGAGTGTCTCTGCATTGTGGGCGTTTTTTTGTATGTGCACAGACGTAACACCTCTTCTGAGCCTTTTTCTTGAAAGCAGTAGCAGGCAGTTTTACTAGGAAGTGATCACCATGCTTCAGACGAGCAGGTAGTTGTTGATAATTTGGTGGGCTGTCAATTGCAGGTGTTCTTCCTTGGTACTTGAATACTATTTGTCTGATGACAGACGAACAGAATTCGCCGTACTGTGGTTTGTTTCTGGTCCTCATCTTATACATATTATAAGCATTGAGCATGGAAATGTCCAGAAGATGGAAAAAGAGTTTGATGTACCACTTATAACTCTTGCGAACACAATCAGCAAACCCAGTCTGCATGTCACATTTGTCCACTGAACGCATGTTGAAGGTGTAATCAATCACAGCTGCAGGTTTTAGAATGGGTTCATTGCTCTCTCTATGCTGCCTGCCACTGTCTGCCATTTCATTAGGGTGAACTGATGATAACAGTGTGACATCTCGTTTGTCATGACACCGAAATGCCATGATGTTATTGGCGGCAAACGCCTGCACTTCACCTCTACGAGTGCCAGCGTCAAACCTGGGCATATGTTTCCGATTTGCACGCACTGTGCCACACACATCTGTCATGTTCACTCGCAAAAAATCACTGAGTGAGGGGCTTGTGTACCAGTTATCCGTAAATAATATATGTATGCCCCTTACCAAGGTATGGTTCTATCATTGTTCTAACCACATCACCAGAGATGCCCAATAACTTCCTGGTATTTTGCAATGTATAACTTCCAGTGTACACAATAATATCCAATACCAGACCACTGTAACAATCACTGTAACAAGCACAAACAACTTTATACCAAAGTGTTTCCTCTTGCTTGGTATATACTGCTTGAAAGAGAGTCTTCCTTTGAACAGAATCAAAGACTCGTCAATTACAAGCTTCCTGAAGGGATAAAAATGCGTACTGAATTTCTCTTTCAGATACACAAACGCATTCCTAATCTTATATAACCTGTCGTTTCTGTCAGGCCTGGTTTTGTCTTGAGAAGTGAAGCATACGTAACATTAGCACAAATCGATTCACTGGCATTATATCACTGAAACCTGGGGTTGCAATCAGGCGGTCTGTTGACCAGTATGATTTCACTTTGTGCTTATACACATGTGGCATAAGCATTATTGTGGCAAAGAAAAAATACATCTCAGCCACAGTTGCCTCTTTCCACTGGTGTAGACGTGATTTTGGTGAAAGTAATGTGTTTGCCATGGTGTACTCGTAGTATGTGTTGCTTTCCATGACAATACTTTCCATCAGGGGTTCGTCAAAGAATAACTCGAAACATTCCAGTTCAGTGGCATTGTTCCCAAGTGTACAAGATGGCCGTATTCCACTTTGGCTGTCATCAAACTGGTGGGGATTTAGAACAAAATTGACAGCTTCCTGCCAATCCCAGGTGCGGTCAGCTGGTGGGTACTGGACAATGACAGGTGGTTGTGGTTGTGGAGGCTGGTGTGGTGGGTGGGTGGGGGATGGTGGCCTTTGTTGTAGATCAGCTGAGGCAGCGGCGTGGGTGGCAGCGTGGGTGGCAGCATGGCCCACTGCTGGTGCCTCACCGCTGGCACCACTACCACCACGCACATTTTCCATCCCAATTACAACAGTATCATCGTCATTTTCACTGTCTGTTCCTGTTGTACAGCCACGGGATGTACTCCGAGATGTGCTCCTTCCCCTTGGAATAGCATATGGCACACTACCAGAGCGCATATATCGTCGTATATACTGACGCTTCACTGGGGAATATTGCACTTCACTAACACTACTGGAACTAGTTTGAAGAGCTTGTAGTTCATATTCACTATCACTATCATCACAAATGCTCTCATCTGAGTCTGGGATTTGGGAAAATAGGAGTTTCCTCTTGGATTCTGGTACAACTGAACGTGAACAAGACGGCCCAGCACCAGAGGTGGAAGGCTGAGGGTCATCTGGGTTTTCCTCACTATTACCGATGTTATGGTCATTAGTTTCGGTCAAAACCTCACCAAAACCTTGAAACTCATCTTCACTGGCACTTCCATCTGTATTAGAACTGTTAGGTAAGACACATATGCAACAGTTAGGTATCTTTATTTCGAAACGTTTCGCCTACACAGTAGGCTTCTTCAGTCGAGTACAGAAAAGTTGATAGAAGCAGAAGAGACTTGAAGACGATGTAATCAGTCCATCACCCTTAAAGTTTTGAGGTGGTCAGTCCCACCTCAAAACTTTAAGGGTGATGGACTGATTACATCGTCTTCAAGTCTCTTCTGCTTCTATCAACTTTTCTGTACTCGACTGAAGAAGCCTACTGTGTAGGCGAAACGTTTCGAAATAAAGATACCTAACTGTTGCATATGTGTCTTACCTAACAACCTGTCGGTATTTTATACCATTTTAATGTATTAGAACTGTCAATGGGGAACAAAAGTGTCCCAATTCGCCGAGGAGTGAGGAGCTTCTTACCGCGAGGCATGGTGGACATTTACTAAGATGGCGTTCCCACAATGCACCACTGGGTCCCAGATTTTTTTTCTACCACGCACACCGACCACACAGACCCATTCTCTCACATCTAGGCCTACCAGCCTTTTCCCGCGAGATTTGACGGCGCTAGAATTTATGCGTACTAGTACGTCAAAAACCCCTGCGCGTAAGCCATACTAGTACGTCCAAAACCCTCAAAGGGTTAATAATACAGTGGACCCTCGACCAACGATAGCATCGATTAACGATAAATCCGATTAGCGATACATTTTAATGCAAAAATTTTGCCTCGACTAGCGCTAAAAAACTCGACCAATACTATTCATTCCGTCTGAGACGCATCCACTTCTGGCCAGTGTTTACAAGCCAGCCAGCCACCGCGGTCGCTTCCAAGCATACAATCGGAACATTTCATATTATCACAGCCTTTTTAGTGATTGCATCTGCAAAATAAATCACCATGGGCCCCAAGAAAGCTTCTAGTGCCAACCCTACAGCAAAAAGGGTGAGAATTACTATGGATATGAAGAAAGAGATCATTGCTAAGTATGAAAGTGGAGTGCGTGTCTCCGAGCTGGCCAGGTTGTACACAAAACCCCAATCAACCATCGCTACTATTGTGGGCAAGAAAACGGCAATCAAGGAAGCTGTTCTTGCCAAAGGTGCAACTATGTTTTCGAAGCTTAGATCGCAAGTGATGGAAGATGTTGAGAGACTGTTATTGGTGTGGATAAACGAAAAACAGATAGCAGGAGATAGCATCTCTCAAGCGATCATATGTGAAAAGGCTAGGAAGTTGCATGACGATTTAATTAAAAAAATGCCAGCAACTAGTGGTGATGAGTGAATTTAAGGCCAGTAAAGGTTGGTTTGAGAGATTTAAAAGAAAGGGAAGTAACCCCGGAAAAGGACTTGCCACCTCAAGTCCTAATGGAAGGGGATTCCCCTTCTAAACACTAAGATCATCGACACTCTCCCCTCCTCCCATCCCATCAATCACCACCTGATCTTCAATAAAGGTAAGTGTCATGTAACTGTGCATGTCTTCTTCAGTGTGTGTGTATTAAAATTAATATTTCATGTGGTAAAAACAATTTTTTTTTCATACTTTGGGGTGTCTTACACGGATTAATTTGATTTCCATTATTTCTTATGGGGAAAATTAACTTGACTAACGATAATTTTGACTAACGATGAGCTCTCAGGAACGGATTAATAGCGTTAGTCGAGGGTCCACTGTGTTTAATGCAAAGAAATTTAAGCATTAATTTATAAGTAATGAGTTTATGGTTGAGTAATCCTTAGCTCAATATATAGTGTGGGAACTTATTCGGTCCTAAAGTTCCACAGGGCAGATACATCGTATGAAGGCCTGAGTTCTGTCCGAGTTCTGCTGGCCCTTACATCCACCCCAAAACACATACATACACCCGGGTTGGCGAAGGTGGTTGGAAGGTACATTTTAATTGATAGATTTACCTTTCGAGGAAGAGGTAGGTAGTTTATATTGTTAGTGAACTAATATTAGGACTATTGAGGCAACTGTAGATAATAATATTGTAGACCTAAGACCTTAACATAGGTAGTAATAGGCCGGTAATGTTGGCAAACACTAGGTTTTATTAGCCAGGGAGAACTGGCAGCCCAAGTTTGAATGCCGAGGCACGGGGTTTTGAGACTGCTGTGCCTCCTTCTTTGCCGAGAACGTGGAACGAGGACATTGCTGTGAACATCAGAGCAGTGCCCCACGTTTCTACACATACTTGGCACTGGGGAATTATGGCGGAGGCACCTTAAAGTACCGTAGATGACCTCCTCCGTCAGGCCCATACAGTAAGACAAGACCTCCCTTTCTTTCTCAGTATTCTGGCCAGTTTCTGGGGGAATATGCGAGTGAGTTGAGCTGTGGGCCTTTGTGCAGCCGGGCCACCAATGACCAGTACGTACCGGCGTCTCCTCATTAGGCTTAGAAGCTAGCATCACTTTCTGCATAGTTATACTAGGGGATACACCCCCTTGGAAACAGAAATTTCTGAGGTGCGGGCAGGTCACTAATACCGACTGAATATTGCAGGAATTAAAGCTCCCGGTTGCACGTGGTTCTAAGGGAAAGTCCAGAGGGGCTAAAGCTTAGGGAGGTTGAAGACTGGGATACATACTCCAACACCAAGTAAGTTAGTCCTTTATTCGTGCATGCGGGCGAGATTTCTTGCAACATCAGTCATTTATGGAAATCTGTCCTATAAGCCACTTGTGAGGCTGAGGTACTGACCTCAGAGCTCAGTGTCAACAGAGCTTGCTAGGGTAGACAACTCACATGGAGGCAGTCCAGACAAATTTTCACATATAGTGGTGAAGTTGAATTAAGTCTAAGTTAAGTAGACTTATATTATTTAGGTATTGATTACAATTTGTTTGGTTAATTTTGGGTGAGTAGGTGATTTCTAAGTTGAACCTTAAATTGATTTGCAGGCAGGGGTCCTTTAGTGTTCTCTGGCAATGAATTCCAGATCTTAGGAACTTTTATGTGCATAGCATTTTTTTATAGGGAGAGATGTACTTGAGGGATATCGAAGAGTGATTTGTGTCTTGTATTGTGAGTGTGTGTGTTCTGTTATAGTTGTCAAGGAAGATTTTGAGAGGATGTACATACATACGAGAGCTGAGAGACAAGATTTTGTTTTGATTTTTGAGTGGGGACAGCAGGTGTAAGGAAACACACCCAACGTTTACACCCTTTCCAGGATCGAACCACAGACAGTACGTGAAGTGAGAGCATTGCCTGCCAGGCCATGGGACACTTTACATACATACATACATACATACATTTTATAATATTCCTCGCATCAAGATAGTCAAACTGTCTGTTTTCTCATCAATGTTTTTGAGAGCTTTACGAATTTGTAGTCCTGAGTTCATAGATGAGGAAATATCCAAAATTTATGAAATAGGTAATGATTTAAAATACCCAAGAAATGTAATTGATAAATCTTTTAAAGTTGCTAGAAATACTTTTTACAATCCAAAAAGGGACAACCAGCCTTATTCAACTAAAAATATGTTGGTTCTCCCTTACCATGAAAACTTGGTTGATATGCCTTCTCTTCTTAAGACTTTTAATATTAAAGTTGTATTCAAAAATCTTGATCCAGTAAAAAAACTTTTGATAAAGAATTCCCCCCAAAATGCTGATTGATGTGTCTATAAGATTCCTTGTAAAATTTGCGATAAAGTTTATTACAGTCAAACTGGTAAAAATCTCGAACTTAGATTAAAACAACATAAATATAACATTAGAACTGGACAAGATTCCAATGCTCTATTTATTCATGTAAGAGATTTTAACCATCCAATTGATTTTCAAAACGTTGAGAAAGTAGTATCAAGCAAGTCCATGGTCGACAGGAATATAATTGAATCTTGTTTCATAAAAAGCAGTTTTGACAATAATATGAATATTTCCTTTGGTTTATATAAATTAGATCCATTTATAATTAATAGAATTTGGGAAGAATTTAATAATACACTGGACAAATAATAATTTTTAAATTTTCTTGAGTAGAATAGTTTGTGGGTGAGTTGTGCAAAGGACCTATCCAAGTTGGGTCGGCGTGCGTCAGGTGTTTAACCGTTGTGGGATCTGATAGTGAGGTGCTGGCCAGACCCCTTATATAGCTTCCTTGGTTGCTTTACTTTCATAGTTCCTTGATAATGTGAGTAGTCACGAAAGCGCTTGGAATTTCTCTATTCTTTGAGAGTGGTTGTTTTGCACATACATACATACATACATACATACATACATACATACATACATACATACATACATACATACATACATACATACATACATACATACATCACTGAGTACATTTACATTGTAGCCATATGCATAGTACAGTATTGTAATAATTGAGGCACTGTGGGACTCTTAAGGGTCTAGCACTTCCTCATGAATATAATAATGATACTACACTTATGGCATATCCTCGTGTATCTAAAGTTTTTGAAATGTTTATCTAATATAACTAGTCATATTTCATGAGCTATTATTCCCTGTCTGTGACCAAGAATAATAATAACGATAGAGCTTTACAAATTAGGATCAGTTTTCAAAAACCTGTATGCCAATCAGTTACATAATTGTCTTGCTGCCAAGGTTATCATCCTTATTGTAAGATCAATACTGAAAGTATATGCATGCATGTGGAGTCCATATGATATGGCTCACTGAATAGCAAAGGTCACTGTTTTGTGGTGTTATAATGATGGAACATAACAAGGTTTATTGCATGTACATATTACTTTTTTTTACTTTTTATAATATTCTGATAAAGCTTGTTGCATGAAATTTTCTTGTAGTCTTGTTATACAGGATTGGGCTTATTGTATGGATTTTTTTTTTTTTTTGGTATTATGATAAGGCTTATTGCATGGAATTTCCTTGTAATTTTTTGATAAGACCTTTAAGCTACAAGTTATTGCATAAAATTCCTTCTTCTATTCTTATGATAAAATTGTATAATAATGCTTATTGCATAGATTTCATTTTAATGTTCTTTTGAAAAAGGGGCAAATTGTAATTGCTGTAAAAATAAGTTGAGCAACTGTTTGCTTCATTGGGCTATCCTATAATAATAATAATAATAATAATAATAATAATAATAATAATATACAGCCTGTCCTCACTTTACGGCAGAGTTCTGTTCCTAGGACCACATCGGTAAACGAATTCGCCGTTAAGTGAGGAGCATACTATAATGGTAGTGGGTTTGTGTCGACCTTCTTTGATATTGTTTTAATGTCACTTTTGCATCTTTTATAACATTTCTGGTATTTTTTTAAATGTTTGTGGTAGTGTACTGTATATTGTAATAAACAGGATAGAGAAAATCAGGTCTGATATATATTATTTAGGTATGTATACTGGTCAGAGAGCCCGTCGTAAGTCCAAGGCGTCAGTAAACAAATATGTCACTAAGTGAGGAGAGGCTGTAATATAATACAGTGGTACCCTGAGTTTCGGCCATAATTCATTCCAGAAGGCTGTTCGAGTACCGTTACCAAACAAATTTGTTTCCATAAGGAACAATGGAAATTAGATTAGTCCGTTTCAGACCCCCAAAAATAAACTTACAAAAGCACTTACAATAATACACTCATATAATTGTTCGAGTTGGGAGCTGTACGAAACTCAGGGTACCATTGTATTTTCATTTCTACAAGTACATGTACAAGGTGTACAGGCCTAGCTGACATCAGTGGCATACTACTATATAGAAAGCCCCTTGTTGTGCAGAGCATTTTGGGCACATTAGGTCAATTTTTGTGTCAGGATGTGACCCAAACCTTTTGATTAACACCCAGGTACCCATTTTTCTGATGGGTGAACATGGACAACAGGTGTAAGGAACACATCCAATGTTTCCACCCTTGCTGGGAATCGAACCTGTACCCTCAGTATCTGAAGTGAGAGCTTTGCCAACTAGGCTACAAGCCACCTATATCTTCAGCATTTATTACTGTTGTATGCCTATAATAATGTGCCTAATGCAAACATTGTAAAAATTGAAACTAATTTGTAAAAAATCTGAGTATTTAGCCAGAATAAAAATTGCTTTGAATTATTGCCTGGATTTTTTTTATTCTTATTGCATATACATGTATACTGTACATGACTGGAACAATATGATAAGGCATATCAATGCAACTTTCTCTGCTAGTATTGTTTTTAATTATTTGATTGTACTATTCATTCTCATGGATTTTTTGTTTTATTATTACAAATATGTAGATTGTAAAAAAAGGGGTTGGGGCTCTTTTGTGAAAATAATTCACACTATTCTAGATAATTTATAACTGAGGTACAGCACCTGGACACTTAATTCTATGTTCAGTTTTTTTTTATTTGTGAATCTTGTATGCATATAATAATGTGAGTAGTGCAGTCTTCATGGGAATTTGTCATAAAACACACAACTCATACAATAATGTTTAATTAATACCAAATATTTGGTTGAAAATCAAGTCAGTATGGTTACAGTAGGAGAGCTAAGAAATATTTTAATTAACATGAAACTATTTACAGTGGTCCCTCGATAATCGTATGGCTCGAGAGTTGTAGATTTCGGAAATCATAGCGATATTTTCGTATAAACATGGGCTCGCTAATCGTAGATTGACTTGCGAATAGTAGTTCATCCGGGACGCGTACCCACGCTGTGAGCTGGGGTGGCCTCTCTTCCCAGCCAGTGTGGCATTGTTTACCAGTGAGTGACGGTCCCCTCACTTGCTCCTACGAAATATTTCATAATTGTATTCCATTCATTTCAGTGCTTGCAAGTACTAAATAAGCTACCATGGCTCCAAAGAAAGCTCCTAGTGCCAAGCCTTTGGTAAAGAAGGTGAGAAATACGATTGAATTGAAGAAAAACATCATTGAACAATATGAAAGTGGTTTAAGTGTGGCCGAACTGGCCAGGATGTATAACAAACCCTATACAACCATATGTTCCATCGTGGCCAAGAAAAAGGAAATCAAGGACGCTGTTGTTGCAAAGGAGGGTAAATATGCTGACAAAAATGAGATCACCAGTACTCGAAGAGGTCGAGAAGTTATTGTTGGTGTGGATAAACGAGAAACAATTAGCAGGAGATAGTATTATGATGTCGATTATTTGTGAAAAGGCTAGGCAGTTGCACGGCGATCTGGTAAAGAAATTGCCTGCAACTAGTGGTGATGTGAGTGAATTTAAGGCAGGCAAAGGTTGGTTTGAGAGATTTAAAAACCGTACTGGCATATACAGTGTGGTAAGGCATGGTGAGGCTGCCAGTTCGGACCACAAAGTGGCTGAAGTGCATGAATTCAAGGAGTACATAGAGGCTGAAGGACTGAAACCTGAACAAGTGTTCAGTTGTAACGAAACGGGCCTCTTTTGGAAGAAAATGCCAAAGAGGACCTACATTACACAGGAGGAAAAGGCACTGTCAGGACACAAGCCTATGAAAGACAGGCTGACGCTCATGTTCTGTGCTAATCCTAGTGGGGATTTCAAAGTGAAGCTGTTACTAGTGTACCATTCTGAAAATCACAGAGTGTTCAGGAAAAACAATGTAATGAAGAGTAAATTGTGTGTGTTTTGGAAATCTAATAGTAAGGCATGGGTCACGAGGGAAATTTTCGCCGAGTGGTTCAATGAAGTGTTTGGCCCTAGTGTGAAGAATTACCTCCTGGAAAATAAATTGGATCTCAAGTGCCTACTAGTAATGGACAATGCACCTGCTCATCCTCCGAACTTGGATGACCTAATTCTCAAGGAGTTTGGGTTCATCACAGTAAAGTTCTTGCCCCCGAATACCACTCCTCTCCTCCAGCCCATGGACCAGCAGGTCATTGCAAACTTTACAAAACTCTACACCAAAGCAATGTTTCAAAGGTGCTTGAATGTGACCTCAGACACTCACTTGACCCTAAGAGATTTTTGGAGAGAACACTTCAGCATCCTCCATTGCATAACCCTTATAGGTACGGCTTGGGAGGAAGTGACTACCAGTACTTTGAACTCTGCTTGGAGAAAATTGTGGCCAGATTGTGTCGACAAGAGGGATTTTGAAGGGTTTGGGGCAGACCCTGATGAGCCTATGTCTGTTGTTAAATCTATTGTGGCACTGGGGAGTTCCATGGGGTTGGATGTGAGTTTGGAGGATGTGGAAGAGTTGGTGGAAGACCACAATGAAGAGCTCACCACTGAGGAGCTGCAAGAGCAACAGATTGCAGCTCAGAATCTTGCTGCAGAGGAGGAGGAAGAGAGATGGAAGAAGGTGCCTTCTTCAGAAATTAAGGAGATTTTTGAAATGTGGGGTAAGATGGAAAGATTTATGGAGAAACATCACCCTGGCAAGGCTGTTGCAAGCCATGTTGGCAACATGTACAGTGACAAAGTCTTGGCCCATTTTAGGGAAGTGTTAAAGAGACGCCAGAAAAAGAGCTCTCTGGACAGTTATTTTTCGAGACAGGACTCCAGTGACTCTCAAGTTGGTCCTAGTGGCATTAAGAAACAGAGAAGTAACCCCAGAAAAGCAATTGGTACCTGAGGTGTTGATGGAATGGGATTCCCCTTCCAAACTTGTATTTACATTATTTCTTATGGGGAAAATTGATTCGAAAATTGTAGATTTCGATAATAGTAGCACCTCCAGGAACAGATTAAATACGATAAATGAGGGACCACTGTATTTTGATTTGTGCTTTCATAATAAGTTGCAAATATTATTTATTTATTTTTCAAATGGTATCTAATACAGTATGTTGTATGGAGATCAAACAAGGGATTTAATTAGTGTTTTAATAACTAGTCACCAAATGAATGTGAATTTTATTCAAAAGAGTATGCAAAAGTTAAAATTACAGTAGTTTGAAAAGAACAAACCATTTGGAAAGCCATAAATTGTGCAGAACATTTTGGACATGCTAAAACTACGATTTGTATTAAACTAACACTTATCAGTAGCATATAACAGTAAGAAACTAATTGGTAAAAAAGCCAAGATAAAAAAGTGAAAAAGACAAGATTTGGATTGCCTGAAAGTTAACGGTGGTACATGTGAACATCTAGAGACAGGAGGCGGAACTGGTAGTCGGCTACAGAAAAAAAATAATTATGGTGGAACCTCATTTTTCGTGATTAATCCGTTCAAAAAAAGTCTGACAGAAACCGAATCGTACAAAAACTGAAGCAATATTTCCCATGAGAAATAATGTAAATCCAATTAATCCGTTCCAGACACCCAAAAATATTAACAAAAACACATTTTATAGAGAATAACTGTAGTTCTACATACAGAAACCAATGAAAAATAAATATAAATGACTAATGAAATGGATAAATGAACATTTAACATCACTTTTACCCTTACTGAAGACTCTTGTTGGCGTATGGAAGATGGCGAGGAGGGGAGAGGGAGGAGGAGAGGTTATCGTTTGGAAAGGAAATCTCTATCCATAATTAATTCAGGTAGAATTGCAGATGAGCAAGGAGGCTTCAGAGTGGGTAGGGGATGTGTAGATCAAGTGTTTACATTGAAGCATATATGTGAACAATATTTAGATAAAGGTAGGGAAGTTTTTATTGCATTTATGGATTTAGAAAAGGCATATGATAGAGTGGATAGAGGAGCAATGTGGCAGATGTTGCAAGTATATGGAATAGGTGGTAAGTTACTAAATGCTGTAAAGAGCTTTTATGAGGATAGTGAGGCTCAGGTTAGGGTATGTAGAAGAGAGGGAGAATACTTCCCGGTAAAAGTAGGTCTTAGACAGGGATGTGTAATGTCACCATGGTTGTTTAATATATTTATAGATGGGGTTGTAAAAGAAGTAAATGCTAGGGTGTTCGGAAGAGGGGTGGGATTAAATTATGGGGAATCAAATTCAAAATGGGAATTGACAGTTACTTTTTGCTGATGATACTGTGATTATGGGAGATTCTAAAGAAAAATTGCAAAGGTTAGTGGATGAGTTTGAAAATGTGTGTAAAGGTAGAAAGTTGAAAGTGAACATACAAAAGAGTAAGGTGATGAGGGTATCAAATGATTTAGATAAAGAAAAATTGGATATCAAATTGGGGAGGAGTAGTATGGAAGAAGTAAATGTTTTCAGATACGTACTTGGGAGTTGAAGTGTCGGCGGATGGATTTATGAAGGATGAGGTTAATCATAGAATTGATGAGGGAAAAAAGGTGAGTGGTGCGTTGAGGTATATATGGAGTCAAAAAACGTTATCTATGGAGGCAAAGAAGGGAATGTATGAAAGTATAGTAGTACCAACACTCTTGTATGGATGTGAAGCTTGGGTGGTAAATGCAGCAGCGAGGAGACGGTTGGAGGCAGTGGAGATGTCCTGTCTAAGGGCAATGTGTGGTGTAAATATTATGCAGAAAATTCGGAGTGTGGAAATTAGGAGAAGGTGTGGAGTTAATAAAAGCATTAGTCAGAGGGCAGAAGAGGGGTTGTTGAGGTGGTTTGGTCATTTAGAGAGAATGGATCAAAGTAGAATGACATGGAAAGCATATAAATCTATAGGGGAAGGAAAGAGGGGTAGGGGTCGTCCACGAAAGGGTTGGAAAGAGGGGGTAAAGGAGGTTTTGTGGGTGAGGGGCTTGGACTTCCAGCAAGCGTGCATGAGCGTGTTAGATAGGAGTGAATGGAGACGAATGATACTTGGGACCTGAGGATCTGTTGGAGTGTGAGCAGGGTAATATTTAGTGAAGGGATTCAGGGAAACCGGTTATTTTCATATAGTCGGACTTGAGTCCTGGAAATGGGAAGTACAATGCCTGCACTTTAAAGGAGGGGTTTGGGATATTGGCAGTTTGGAGGGATATGTTGTGTATCTTTATACGTATATGCTTCTAAGCTGTTGTATTCTGAGCACCTCTGCAAAAGCAGTGATAATGTGTGAGTGTGGTGAAAGTGTTGAATGATGATGAAAGTATTTTCTTTTTGGGGATTTTCTTTCTTTTTTTGGGTCACCCTGCCTCGGTGGGAGACGACCGACTTGTTGAAAAAAAAAAAAAATCATGGCCGTATCTGGGGTTACTTCCCTTCTTTGTCTTTTACTGGCACTAGAACCATCTTGAGTCACTGGACCCCTGTCGCACAAAAAATCTGTCCAGAGAAGTCTGTTTCTGGCGTCTCTAAGATTTGCCTAAAATGGGACAAGGCATTGCCATTGAATGTGTTGCAGACATGGCTTGCAACAGCTTTGTTAGGGTGATATTTCTCCACGAAACTTTGCAACTCATTCTACTTGACACACACATCCTTAATCATTGAAGAAGGCACATTCTTCCCTCTCTCTTCCTCCTCCTCTGAAGCAATTTCCTTAGCTGTGGTCTGTTGCTGTTCCAGTTGAAGGTCTTGCAGCTCTTCAGTGGTTAGCTCTTCCCTGTGGTCATCCACCAACTCTTCCACATACTGGCCACTCCCATCCAACCCCGTGGACTTCCCCAAAGACAATAGATTCCACAACAGGCATAGGGTTGTCGGGGTCAGCCTTAAACCCTTCAAAATCACAAATGCATGGAATGCTTTGTGTGGCTGCTAGATTCCGGGAAATGAGTGGCCGAGTCGTGCAGGCATGTGGACAAGTTTGGTATGGACCATATTCAACTGTACGAAAACTGAGCGGATGTACGAAAACTGGAATAAAATTTTGACGAAAAAAGTCGTTGAAAACCGAATCACATGAAAACTAAGGCATACTACAACTGAGGTTCCACTGTAGGTGGCCAAAATATGTGGGAACAATAGGACATGGGCATGGTTGCTTTTTACAGTAAGTATCAATAGGTCATTTGCAATTATTTGTCATAAATCACATGAGGTTTAGGAGTTTTTTTTTAATAGAGTAGTTGGCAGCCATGAAACTTTTTATTATAGTTTTATTATAGTTTCAGTTGGCTCGAAATGCAAAGCATAATTAGAGGCTTTTTTTTTTTGAACTTGTAGTAAGAGTATATATGTACGTGCTGTATATTCAGCCGTTCTACACTGAAGGCGGCTGGGGATGTATGTGGATATATTGATACTAAACATCAATAGCTACTGTACATTTAATTAAAAAAAAAAAGCTGATTTTTTTTATTACCTACTTGATACAAAATCACATGATTAACTTGTACCAAAAAAGTACGTAATTGCATCATTCATGCATGATTTAATATGTATGTAATATAGTATTGTATTTGTCAATTATTCCAGAAATCTCGTAATTGGAAATTTATTTATCACATTAATACTGTATATATGAAGGTACACCTATTAAAAATTACCATTTTTTTAATTTTTACTACATACTGTTTTTGTTATTTTAATTTGTGCTCTCTTATCTTACAGCTGCTTAGATGACATTAGAGTAGAGTACATGTTAAACAAGTGTAAAATAAGTGAGTCTCCTGAATCAAAATGGCTGCTAACAATGAAGTGCTCGCCTTGATTACTGATCTGGATTGCCAAGAGGATCGTCGTTATCGTTCACCATGCTGTGTCAAGAACGATGACAGCACCATAAAGGAGGTGGAGTCACTCGTGTAACTTTTTTATTTGATCAAACCTGGTTGCATTTTTTGCATAAATTGACTTTACTGAATTCCTGCACTGGATTTTATTCTGCATGTTTAGATTTAATTATAATCTGGTGTAAATCTGTTCATTTATATGGTAGACATTGTATACAAGTATGCCCAAATTCAAATACTTGTTTGTCTTACCACATAATAACTTCTTTCACTCTCCATGATCTTTGCTATGAAAAAAGCCAAAAAAAAAAAAAAAAATAAAGAAATTTGCTGTATGCTTTTTAATACAGTCAAAATACTGTACATAAAATACCTTGAAACCTCCTCAGGTACTGTAGCTACAGTACTTTATTTGCAAGTTTTCATTACACAGTGTTTCTACTGATGAACAACTAGTGAAGTTTCAATTTTCCACAGGTTTTCTGGTGGTACCCATTTATTCATGCTTGTCATACTGCTGAATAAAAGACAAACCATAAGATTTCAAATTGTGTTGTATGGCTGAAGAGAGAGAAATTGCAGATATATGATTTCAGAAACAAAATGAACTCGAATCTGAAATAAAATTCCTAATGGAGATAAAATATTGTTCAGTTTTTAGTTTTGCTGGCTACTTTAATTTGTAACTACATCTATACTTTTTTTTTTTCCAAGTAATGTTGTGACATACAAAGAAAAGATAAGGAAGTGTTTGGAGGTTTGATTCATATTTGGATTTGAAATTTTGTATTTATTTGAAAATATGTTATAGTATAGGTAACCGAGAAAATTTAAACGTGTTGTATACTGTACTGTGCATAGTATTGTTGGTGAAGCCCATATTATGTACGCTGTTTGACAGGGGTTAATAGTTACTAAAGGGATACAAAAATTGCAATAATTTTTTCTTTTCAAGTAAAATACATTTTGGATTTACACATACGTACCCTGTTCTGGAATTTTAATATAGTTCTGGTATACAGTACTGCACAATAAACAATATGCAATATATTGAAATTTAAATGTAAATGTTTATTATTAACACTTGTATAAATGTACTTAAATATGTTATTATTATTTTTTTTTTTATTATCACACCGGCCGATTCCCACCAAGGCAGGGTGGCCCGAAAAAGAAAAACTTTCACCATCATTCACTCCATCACTGTCTTGCCAGAAGGGTGCTTTACACTACAGTTTTTAAACTGCAACATTAACACCCCTCCTTCAGAGTGCAGGCACTGTACTTCCCATCTCCAGGACTCAAGTCCGGCCTGCCGGTTTCCCTGAATCCCTTCATAAATGTTACTTTGCTCACACTCCAACAGCACGTCAAGTATTAAAAACCATTTGTCTCCATTCACTCCTATCAAACACGCTCACGCATGCCTGCTGGAAGTCCAAGCCCCTCGCACACAAAACCTCCTTTACCCCCTCCCTCCAACCCTTCCTAGGCCGACCCCTACCCCCCCTTCCTTCCACTACAGACTGATACACTCTTGAAGTCATTCTGTTTCGCTCCATTCTCTCTACATGTCCGAACCACCTCAACAACCCTTCCTCAGCCCTCTGGACAACAGTTTTGGTAATCCCGCACCTCCTCCTAACTTCCAAACTAACGAATTCTCTGCATTATATTCACACCACACATTGCCCTCAGACATGACATCTCCACTGCCTCCAGCCTTCTCCTCGCTGCAACATTCATCACCCACGCTTCACACCCATATAAGAGCGTTGGTAAAACTATACTCTCATACATTCCCCTCTTTGCCTCCAAGGACAAAGTTCTTTGTCTCCACAGACTCCTAAGTGCACCACTCACATCTTTTTCCCTCATCAATTCTATGATTCACCTCATCTTTCATAGACCCATCCGCTGACAACGTCCACTCCCAAATATCTGAATACGTTCACCTCCTCCATACTCTCTCCCTCCAATCTGATATTCAATCTTTCATCACCTAATCTTTTTGTTATCCTCATAACCTTACTCTTTCCTGTATTCACCTTTAATTTTCTTCTTTTGCACACCCTACCAAATTCATCCACCAATCTCTGCAACTTCTCTTCAGAATCTCCCAAGAGCACAGTGTCATCAGCAAAGAGCAGCTGTGACAACTCCCACTTTGTGTGTGATTCTTTATCTTTTAACTCCACGCCTCTTGCCAAGACCCTCGCATTTACTTCTCTTACAACCCCATCTATAAATATATTAAACAACCACGGTGACATCACACATCCTTGTCTAAGGCCTACTTTTACTGGGAAAAAATTTCCCTCTTTCCTACATACTCTAACTTGAGCCTCACTATCCTCGTAAAAACTCTTCACTGCTTTCAGTAACCTACCTCCTACACCATACACTTGCAACATCTGCCACATGCCCCCCTATCCACCCTGTCATACGCCTTTTCCAAATCCATAAATGCCACAAAGACCTCTTTAGCCTTATCTAAATACTGTTCACTTATATGTTTCACTGTAAACACCTGGTCCACACACCCCCTACCTTTCCTAAAGCCTCCTTGTTCATCTGCTATCCTATTCTCCGTCTTACTCTTAATTCTTTCAATTATAACTCTACCATACACTTTACCAGGTACACTCAACAGACTTATCCCCCTATAATTTTTGCACCTCTTTTATCCCCTTTGCCTTTATACAAAGGAACTATGCATGCTCTCTGCCAATCCCTAGGTACCTTACCCTCTTCCATACATTTATTAAATAATTGCACCAACCACTCCAAAACTATATCCCCACCTGCTTTTAACATTTCTATCTTTATCCCATCAATCCCGGCTGCCTTACCCCCTTTCATTTTACCTACTGCCTCACGAACTTCCCCCACACTCACAACTGGCTCTTCCTCACTCCTACAAGATGTTATTCCTCCTTGCCCTATACACGAAATCACAGCTTCCCTATCTTCATCAACATTTAACAATTCCTCAAAATATTCCTTCCATCTTCCCAATACCTCTAACTCTCCATTTAATAACTCTCCTCTCCTATTTTTAACTGACAAATCAATTTGTTCTCTAGGCTTTCTTAACTTGTTAATCTCACTCCAAAACTTTTTCTTATTTCAACAAAATTTGTTGATAACATCTCACCCACTCTCTCATTTGCTCTCTTTTTACATTGCTTCACCACTCTCTTAACCTCTCTCTTTTTCTCCATATACTCTTCCCTCCTTGCATCACTTCTACTTTGTAAAAACTTCTCATATGCTAACTTTTTCTCCCTTACTACTCTCTTTACATCATCATTCCACCAATCGCTCCTCTTCCCTCCTGCACCCACTTTCCTGTAACCACAAACTTCTGCTGAACACTCTAACACTACATTTTTAAACCTACCCCATACCTCTTCGAACCCCATTGCCTATGCTCTCATTACCCATCTATCCTCCAATAGCTGTTTATATCTTACCCTAACTGCCTCCTCTTTTAGTTTATAAACCTTCACCTCTCTCTTCCTGATGCTTCTATTCTCCTTGTATCCCATCTACCTTTTACTCCCAGTGTAGCTACAACTAGAAAGTGATCTGATATATCTGTGGCCCCTCTATAAACATGTACATCCTGAAGTCTACTCAACAGTCTTTTATCTACCAATACATAATCCAACAAACTACTGTCATTTCGCCCTACATCATATCGTGTATACTTATTTATCCTCTTTTTCTTAAAATATGTATTACCTATAACTAAACCCCTTTCTATACAAAGTTCAATCAAAGGGCTCCCATTATCATTTACACCTGGCACCCCAAACTTACCTACCACACCCTCTCTAAAAGTTTCTCCTACTTTAGCATTCAAGTCCCCTACCACAATTACTCTCTCACTTGGTTCAAAGGCTCCTATACATTCACTTAACATCTCCCAAAATCTCTCTCTCTCCTCTGCATTCCTCTCTTCTCCAGGTGCATACACGCTTATTATGACCCACTTCTCGCATCCAACCTTTACTTTAATCCACATAATTCTTGAGTTTACACATTCATATTCTCTTTTCTCCTTCCATAACTGATCATTTAACATTACTGCTACCCCTTCCTTTGCTCTAACTCTCTCAGATACTCCAGATTTAATCCCATTTATTTCCCCCCACTGAAACTCTCCTACCCCCTTCAGCTTTGTTTCGCTTAGGGCCAGGACATCCAACTTCTTTTCATTCATAACATCAGCAATCATCTGTTTCTTGTCATCCGCACTACATCCACGCACATTTAAGCAACCCAGTTTTATAATTAAATTCAACATAGAATTTTCTATGAAATGAGGAACGTATTAGTTATAACTGTAACTGTTTTGCATGATGGTAGGATTGCTGGTTTCTTTTTCTGTCTCATAAACACGCTAGATAACAGGGATATCTTGCTACTCCTACTTACACTTGGGTCACACTTCACAGACACGCACATGCATATATATATACATACATCTAGGTTTTTCTCCTTTTTCTAAATAGCTCTTGTTCCTCTTTTTTTCTTCTATTGTCCATGGGGAAGTGGAAAAGAATCTTTCCTCCGTAAGCCATGCGTGTCGTATGAGGCGACTAAAATGCCGGGAGCAATGGGCTAGTAACCCCTTCTCCTGTAGACATTTACTAAAAAAGAGAAGAAGAAAAACTTTATAAAACTGGGATGTTTAAATGTGCGTGGATGTAGTGCGGATGACAAGAAACAGATGATTGCTGATGTTATGAATGAAAAGAAGTTGGATGTCCTGGCCTAAGCGAAACAAAGCTGAAGGGGGTAGGGAGTTTCGGTGGGGGGAAATAAATGGGATTAAATCTGGAGTATCTGTGAGAGTTAGAGCAAAGGAAGGGGTAGCAGTAATGTTGAATGATCAGTTATGGAAGGAGAAAAGAGAATATGAATGTGTAAATGCAAGAATTATGTGGATTAAAGTAAAGGTTGGATGCGAGAAGTGGGTCATAATAAGCGTGTATGCACCTGGAGAAGAGAGGAATGCAGAGGAGAGAGAGATTTTGGGAGATGTTAAGTGAATGTATAGGAGCCTTTGAACCAAGTGAGAGAGTAATTGTGGTAGGGGACCTGAATGCTAAAGTAGGAGAAACTTTTAGAGAGGGTGTGGTAGGTAAGTTTGGGGTGCCAGGTGTAAATGATAATGGGAGCCCTTTGATTGAACTTTGTATAGAAAGGGGTTTAGTTATAGGTAATACATATTTTAAGAAAAAGAGGATAAATAAGTATACAAGATATGATGTGGGGCGAAATGACAGTAGTTTGTTGGATTATGTATTGGTAGATAAAAGACTGTTGAGTAGACTTCAGGATGTACATGTTTATAGAGGGGCCACAGATATATCAGATCACTTTCTAGTTGTAGCTACACTGAGAGTAAAAGGTAGATGGGATACAAGGAGAATAGAAGCATCAGGGAAGAGAGAGGTGA